GATGAGAAAAATTTCTTCTTTGTGAAGAACACTAGCCAATGAATATGGAAAGAATAATAGAATTTTTTAAATCATCATTTTGAAATATTCAAATAAATAATTGACTCAAGTTAAGAACATCGATAAATGTTAAATGCATCTGAGGAACTAGATATCCCAGGGGATCAAGGTATTGCCCCTACAGATTGCTTGCTGATTGTAGAAAGGGAAAAAGAATCTTTTCAATAGCCAAATTTGGCAGCGGCCACCTTCACTAATTGATGAAAATTACTAGTACAGCCTGGCATTATGTGCTTCTGATGTGATGAAATATGAAGTTGAAAGCAAAACCTATAATATTGTATTAGTTATCTATTGATGCATGTATTAGTCTACTCAGGCTGCTATAACAAAATGCCATAGACTGGGGTGTTTATAAACAATAGAAGTTGATTTCTCATCATTCTAGAGGCTGGAAGTCTGAGATCAAGTTGTTAGCTGATTTGGTTTCTAGTGAAAGCTCTCTTCCTGGCTTAGAGATGGCCACTTTCTTACTATGTCTTCACATGGTGGAGAAAGAAAGAGACAGCTCTCTTTTCTTCTTCTTACAAGGTCACAGTACTGTCAGGTAGGGCCCTGCCCTTATAACCTCATTTAACCTTAATTACCTCCTAAAAACCTTATCTCCAGATATAGTCACATTAGGGGTTGGGGCTTCAACATATGGATTTTGCAAGGGGGAGACACAATTTAGTCCATAGCAATGCATAACAAAATATCCCCAAAACTTAATATCCTAAAACAACAAATATTTATTACCTCACAGTTTCTGTGGGTTAGGAATCCAGGCACAGTTTTACTGGCCTCTGGCACAAGGTCTCCCATGAAACTGAGGTCAAGTTGTCAGGTGGGACTGTGGTCTGAAGGCTTAATGGGGGTGAGGGGGCTGGGAGATCTGCTTCTAAGCTCACTCACATGGTTGTAAGCAGACCTCTGTCCCTTGCCATATGGACTCCTCCACAGGACTGTCTTATGACATGGCATCTAACTTCCCTCATGGTGGGCATTTCAAGAGAGAATGAGAGAACGTCTATCACAGAAGCCACAGTTTTTGTTTTTTGTTTTTTTTTATAATCTAATCTCAGAAGTGACATCTCATTATTTCTGCTATATTCTTCTATTTATTAGAAGTGAGTCATAAAGTCCAGCCCATGCTCCAGAGAGGGGGCTACATCAGGGTATGAATACCAGGAGGTAGAGATTATTGTGGGTCATCTTGGAGGCTGCTATCACAGATGTTTTCTACCAAAAATCTTTAACTTGAATATAATCAAGCTCAGGTTCTAATGTCTAGTTTATAGAAAATACAACAAATAAAGCAACTAGTTAAATAGCACCATAAGAAAATAATCAGAGAAGCCCCAAATGTGGGACATTGTCCCAGACCATCAGCTCAATCCCTTCAAAAAGAAAATGTCATGACAAAAAAAAAAAAGGTAGGGGGGACTATTTTTGATAGAACAAGACTGAACAGACATAACATTCAAACACAATGGTTGATATTTGCAGTCTACTGTTAAAAAACAGCTGTAGAAGACATTTCTGGGACAATTGTAGAAATTTAAGTATGGGCTGGATGTTATATATTAAAAATTATTGTTAATTTTTTTTGTGTAATAATGGCATTTTGGTTATGAAGGAGAATGTCTTTCTTTTTAAGAGATACAGGCTGAAGTATTTAGGAGTGTACTGTTCTGATGTAACTTACACTCAAATGGTCTAGAAAAACACATACATAAAGCAAAGTTGACAAAAATGTTAATTGTAAAATGTACTTTGTAAGTATATAGGTTATTGTATTGTTTGAACTTTTATGTATAAAATTTTTTCATAGTAAAAAAATTGATAGAAAAAAAGTCAGTCTTATGACTAGAACTATTTAACCTACAGAGATGAACCCCAACACATGTCTCAGGCCTCATGAGAAATGTCTCCAGTTTCTCTCACTTAGGCAGTGTTTTCTTGGTTCATACCCCAATTTGATATAGAAATTTATAAGCAGCGGAGTCACTAATGGATGAAGCCTGGAGCTTTGCGTTCAGCTGAGCTCAGGGGAGCCAGTCAGCTCTTCACTCAAGAAAAACCGCTTGGAACCACAAGGAAGAAGTGAGGAGGCATGGCAAGCCCTCAGAGGGAAGTGAAAAAGCCTCAGGGCACATCCCACCGGTGTGGTCAAGGGGAGAACTGAAAGGAGCCCCCTCAAGTCCTAGAGCACGGGCAGCCCTAACTACTGGTGATTTGAGAAGAGTCAAAATCCCACCACTAACATGTTATGCCTTTGGATTAAGCATTGCCCTTAAAAATGGCAAAAATTCCTATAAGAATAGAAATAAGGGCACTAACCTAGCCCCTCAATAGACTATATCAAGAAATCCTGAGTTTATTCCCTGTAACCAGGCCAGTGTTGGGCTCTGACCATACAGAGTCAGATAGAGCTTCTCTCTTCCAGCATTTCACAGTCTGTGATGAGCCCAGAAGGTATAGGAATAGGAGCCAGTGTTCTGTTCTATAGCAGCCTGGGGCTGAGGTGAAGAGAGGGTGGAGGAGCAGGCAGCAGAGGGAAGCAGGTGTCCGGGAACCAGTGTGTTATTTTTTTTCTCCATTGAGGGCTGATAGGGCCAGGGTGGTGTGGAGAAGACAGGATCTTTGCAGAGAGGCTATGGAAGAGCTAAGAAAGCATGGGACAAGAAGCCAGGAGGATGGGCCTCTAGGATAACCTCCTTCACTAGGTGGCCTGGGGCTAATCACCTCTACTCTCTGATCCTTGGGTCCTCTTTTGTTCAATTTTATTTTGATCTGCCATAGCAGAGATTCTCAGCCTTTAGGATGAATCAGAATCACTTGAGGGTGCCTAGCCAAACCCAGACTCAGTCACTCCCTGTCCATAGGGGTGAGGCCTGAGCATTTCACTACACAGACGTCTCCCCGGGTGGTTCTGCCTACAGTCAAGGTTGAGAGCTGATGGTCAGTAAAGCAGCCAGAGATGGGTAGTGAAGAGGGAACCCAGGGTGACAGAAGCTTTCTTCAAACCTCTGGAAACCTAAGATCCCTCTGTGAAACTGTCCAGAGTTCAAAGAGTTGATCTGAGGGAATTCAGACTTCCTCCTGATGGGTTAAAATGAGATGATGCTATCAAGCAGTTAGCATTTAGTTTGAGCTCAATCAGTGTGTATCTTTCCCACTCTCACTCCATTGAGTCCCTAAGTGAATGGCTGGGGCAGGAAAAATAGTCTGAGAACTGAGAAATATGGCAAAACTCCATAAAGTATCTTTTAAGAAAGAAATGGGATGGAATGGTGGGAATATTCAAAAATCTCTCTGAAGTCTCCAGGTCTCTTCTTTTCTTTGAGGTTGGTGACAAAATTGGTTTGCCTAATCTGGAGTAAAGGAGCCTTAGATGAGAGTAACCCTTCCTTCATTGACATCAGAGAAGACTCCAGAATGACATCGAAGTCCTAGGAGGAGTGGGTACCATCCAGAGAAGGACAGAGCTTACAGCTTCTCAAGAACTTGAAAGGACAGGTAGGAAGGCAGTTTCCCAGCAGGGTTCCTGGCAAAGGCTGTCCTGTTGCTGTTTAGATAAGAACAGCCAATAAATCTGCAGCCTTGCTCTGGCACTTAGAGCTCAGGCTCCCTTGGAAAATCTCCCAGCATCAGTCCTGATATGGACCAGCTTGATCCACACTAGGCTTTTATAAATCCTTGGCAGCAATCAAAACAGCAGCTTCAGGGAGTACTTTGGGGTGGGGCAGGGGAGGTAGAAGCCCAGTCGTAGGTGGAAGAGGCGGCAGTGTGAGAGAGGGGTGAGCAGCTCAGATAATGAGGTGTCAGGGGAGGCATAACTCTCCTCTGTTCTTTCTGTGTGCCCCAGCCCTCTCACTGTCTTGGGACCACCTTGCCCTTCCTTATGCCCTCTTCCATTCCCCTCTCCCCACTCTTGCCCATCTTGTTCCCTGTGAATGCCTTATCTTTCTTAGTTTTACTTATTTGAATCTTGTCTCTCTTTAAGCTTCATATCTTCAGTGAAGTTTCTTCAGCCCATACTTAGTCTTCATTTTACAAAATTTTTTTTTGAGCCACAAGTGGCCAGAATATAGAGATAAATGAACCAAGATTCTTGCCTTTAAGGAACTCAGTTAGACTTATAAACTAACAAAGTGATGACACAAAGATGGGCCACAAAAGGGTCTGAAAGATAGACTGGCTATTAGGGGGCCAAGAAAAGCTTTCTATGAGAGCAAAGTGACACTTGAGCAGTCCTGGGAAATTAGGGGTGCTCTAAAGGTAGACCTGGCAGGTTTTGGGAGAGAACAGCTGGCACATGCAGGAGTTCATCTGCTAAAGGTATAGAGAAAAGGTCTCCTCAGGGTCCTAGACTTGGGGAAGTGCAAACTGCTGCATAAGGAAGAGGTGACGTGGGAGGGAGCCACTCTGGATCCCTGCTAAGGTGTCTGGCAGCTCCTGGGATGTCTGTCACACAAGGGGCACTAATTCTGTGTTTGACCCAATCTGCCTGCACATCTGAGGACAGGAAAGATCTTCATCTGCTTCTTCTTTCCTTGTATTGCCTGACCTATTATTGGTTACACAGCATTGTCCTAAGCACATAGATGGGATTTGACAAACTAGTTGATAGAATTTCCCTAATTTCTTTCCAATCCTTCATTGATTATCACTATAGCCTTGAGACAGAGTGAATGAATTTCTTGTTTGTGCAAGATGTGCCAATCATGGGGCCTGCCAGGCTCACAGCTCCTTCAAACAGATACTGTGCCCCCATCTCACCCACCCCCACAGCCCTGCTGAAGGGACAACCCTAATTGGCCATGTTTTATGTCACATGACTCCCCTCTCCCTGGCCACAACTGTTCAGTGGTCTATGAAGGGCTGGCTTAAAAGGCTGGGAGTCTGGGCCAATCAGCTTCTTGTTCTTGAGAAGTTGAATTGAGTAATCAGGAAAGCATCAGACAGTGAGCCCAGGAGCAGAAGCTGTAGCCTGTACAGAGAGCAGGAGGCCCTGATGTAGATCCTGAGCTACCATGGGTCAGAAGTCCCCATTATAGATGAGAAAGAGAAGCGTGGAGGTAGAGAAAAGGCCAGGTAGAGGTTGAGGATGTGAGCAGGTAGCAGGGGACAAGGCAGAAAAAGATGCAGGTGCTTGAAGGGTAGCTAAGCCACATAGATGTGTCAACATAAGAACATCCAAACCTACAGAAAAATGGTATAAGAGTTTATTAAAGCCAAAATGAGGACATGCCTGGAAGCAAGATCTTATCAGGTAAGAACATTTGAGAAAATGCTCCAGAAAATTAGTTTTGCATTTCTTTTTATACATTTAGAATCAAAGGAGAGGCTATAAGGAAGTTTGCATGAAATCCATTGGTGGTAGATTAGCAAGGTGGGGGTTGGGGGTTGTGATCTCTAGAATTGGGTACAGAGTAAAATGAAGAGACACATATTTCTTTTACATTGGTAGGTACAGGATAGTTAACATTTAACATTTACAGTAAATAGAGATGATGTGCTGGCAACAGATAAAGAGAAATTTTGGGGTCATCATGCTGGTGCTAAGAACAATGGACAGTGTTCAATTAAGGTAAAGATTAACCTCTGACTAAGGAAGCTGCAGGCCTGGGGTGTGACTACCCACCATGACCTGTCTAGTTAGAAATTTATGACCAGATCACCTTGTGGGTTACTTTCAGTCACTGAGCTTGTCAGGTTTTCTGCATAGCCCCCTTTTTGTTCAAGATGCAACACCAGAGGGAAGAAAAATGTTCAAGCAGGACACTCTTCTTAGAATTTTCCATGTATTGACTCTTTTAATCCTCACAACTACCCCATGCATAGGTGTTGCTATCCAATTGTGTAGAGGAGGAAACTGAGGCACAGAGGGGTTTAATGGCTTTCCCAAGCTCACAGTCAGTTAGTGGCAGAGCCAGGATTTGAATCTTGACCACCAAGCTCTGCTGTGTCCAGGGGCTGGAAGACTGGGTGTTCTCAGCTCTGGAACAACTTAAGTTCCCCAGTCGAGAAAGTGCAACTTCACAGGTAGAATTTAGGATTCTGGTTTCTTTATTTACGATTCTGTGTGGCTCCTTACATACATTTCCCATTCCACGTATATGCATACTTGAGCTCATCTAAGGGAGTCTGTTCTTCGTATAACTGGTTCATTATTCAGGCTCAATTTAGTTTGGCATAAACATGAAGTATTTATTTAAAAAATCTTCTCAAGTCATTGTTTTCAAGTACTCTGTTGACTCTCCCTTTTCTGTCCCTTGATAACATCTTGGGCAGATTCTATGATTTCTTTTTGACTATTAAGAAAATAAAATTTAAAACTCCAAATCTTGCCTCTGATTGAAACTCACCTTTCCTGGGGCCTGGAATGGGTGGGAGGTGGTTTGCTATTTTCCCTAGATTGAGCAGGATTCTTGGAGACCAGCTGGCTCCTCATGGCTCAGGGATGGCCCTGGTTCACCCTCTGCCTAGACTCACCTCTCCCTCTCCCCACTGAGTGATGAAATGGGTTCCTGATTTCCACCCACCTTCTACCTTGCTGAATAAGTAGCAAGGCCTGCAGAGGGTCAGGAATTTCTGGAGGGCCGGATGCTGCAGGTATAGTCAATGGGCTCATCACCCATGCTACCCTGGCCTGAGCTCCTTCTCCTCCTCACTGCCCTAGGTCTTGTAATTCTCTTTTAGATCCTCTGTGAATTTTGTACCAGGGCCACGGTCTGTTCTTGGCCTCTCAAGACATTCCTCCTACTCTTTAATCTACCTCCTCTCTAATGCCCAATTACTTTCCAGAGCTCCCTGCTATATCCCTCCCTGGGCTGCCCTTCTTCTCCCTCCAGCCCTGAGTTCTCTCTGACACGTTAAGCTAGTCCCATCCCCTGGTGAACCCAGGCATGGTCAAGCCACTTCCATTTCAGAAGCTCCAATCTGAGAGGCCAATAGTGGGTTGAGAAGAAGTTGCTTTGTGTGGTTGTGGTTCCTCCTGTTGGAGTGACGGTTCTTTATCTGATCCACCAGAGTCACATACCCAGTTTGGCTGCTCACTGTCACTGAGCTTGCATATTTTGTCTCTCTCACATACACAAACACACAGACACAAAGGAGGCGATATGCAGGGGTGTTGTAGACAGAAAAAATTATATGATTCATTTAGAAAATAGTAAAGAGTGGATTTCAATTTCCTTTGAAAATTACAACACAATTACTCTTCTGTGGTTGCTTCTGCGGGAGTAGTGGGATTCTATTCTTGGACCCAGGGCACCTGGAGTCAGAGGAGTTTGTCAGGGAAGGTTGTGTAGGGCATCCTGCATTAGTGAGGGTGGCTCCATGGAGAGTGGGTGTAGTTGGAGTGAGAGATGAAGGGCTCTGTGTGCGAGGGGTCAGGAAAATGTAGAGATATGGCAACTGTGAAGGAGGACTTAGAAGATGGAAAGATGACAAGGGACATGCTTGCACACCATCCAATAGACCTGGACTAGAGCAAGACAAGTGAGGCAACTTGGGGACAGAATTTAAGGTGGTGTCACTCTCAGATTTGTATAAGTGGATCCTAATTTGCATAGGGTGCTGGCTGGGTTCTGTGCCACGGGGGCACTATAGACTTAGGCCCTGGCTCACAATCCCTCAACAGACCCATAATATAGACAAAAGATGGGGTGAGGATATAAAGAGAACAGGTAGCAGAGTGTGGCAAATGTTTGTGGTAACACAGCAGTGTCCTGTCCAGGAAGATAAAGTTGAGGAACAGATGACCCTCCTCTATCTATCTGGGAAGACTTCCTGGAGGAGGAGATAGGAATAGTTTGGGTAGCTATTTGAACTATGGCAGAGAGGGAGTATTACATGCCTATATGTGGGTGCATATGTATGTGTGCGTGATACTCTGCCTGTGGATCTATCACATGTGACTGCTGCAGGACCACAATAGCTGCACAAGCCTGCAAGGTCAAGCTCAGCTGATAGGAATCAGGGCTCGTGGTTCTACGGGGACTCATGGCAATGTTGTTTTTATTGTTTTTTAAATATTTTTTTTATTTATTTAACATCAATACTTTTATTTATTTTTTTCTTTTCTTTTTTAATTTTCTTATTCGCCCTTCCCCCTACCCTTTTCGCTCTGTTAACCACTAGACAGGACAATGTGTTCGAGGTGCTTTTCCTGTTCTCTTTCGCTATAGGCTCTTATCTCAACATATATCTGTTTACTGGCTGATGAAATGGAATGTCAAGTGTAGAGAACACTGGAGAATATTAACTGAGCCTGGAGTTAGGGCTCTGGCTCTGTTACCAGCTAGATGTGTGACCTCAGGCAAACTTAACCTCTTGGAGCTTCTTACTCTTGTGACAATAGCTTAGATGACATATAGTCTTTTATTTACTGCTCACAACCTCCTAAGAGCTGACCATCTATATGCCCATTTTATATACAAAGACACTAAGATAAAATGAGAAAGTAAGTTTGGGTGATTTCTAAGGATTCTTTTCAGCACCCAGATTTTACAATACTGTGGAAATTTACCACCAGAGTAGATTCCTAAATGTTTGGGAAGTGTTCTCATTTTATCACATATGTTAGTTTTCTATTGCTGCTGTGACAAATAACCACGGGCTGAGTGGCTTGAAACAACATGGATTTATTTTCTTACAGTGCTGGGGGTCAGAAGTCTAAAATCAATCTCACAGGGCTCAAGTTAAGGTGTCAGCAGAGCTGTGTTCTTTCTGTGGGTTCTGACAGGAAGATCCATTACCTTGCCTTTTCCAGCTTCTACAGGCCTTCTTCATTCCCTGGCTTGGAACTTCTTCCTCCATATTCAAAGCCTGCAGTGTAGCATCTTCAGATCTCTCTTTCTGACCTCTGCTTCTATCATCACACTCTTGCCTCCCTCTTATAAGGATCCTTTCCCTTAGATTGGGCCCACCCAAACAAACCAGGATAATTTTTCCATCTCAAGATTCTTAACTACATCTGCAGAGTCCCTTTTACTGTGTACAATAACAATTCATAGCTACTGAGAACTAGGATGTGAACATTGGGGCGGAGGGGGCCATAATCCTTTCCTCTCCTTTCCCCTTCCCTCTTCTCTTCTTCATTCTTCCCTTACATGTGCTAAAACAAACATTAACATTGTATCTGGAAAGGGAAAGACAGTAGGTTGAGCAAGCACTTGTCCACTAGTAAATGAAGCTTATTATGAATGTATACTCTGAGAGAGAGAGAGAGAGAGAGAGAGAGAGAGAGAGAGAGAGAGAGAGAGAGAGAGACAGAGAGAGAGAAGGAGAGAGAGAGAGGAAGCGAGTTTAACTTATAAATAGAGGGGGCTGATTTACGTATCAGAAAGCACTTATAATGAGCATTGTTTAACAGATTACAGAAGAGAGACTTCAGCTGAAAGGCGAAGAATATAGCTTGGTGGTTAACAGTACTGACTGTAAAGCCAGACAGACCTGGGTTTGAAACCTAGCCCCTGTTACTTTTTAGCCAGGTGGCCTTGAACTTCTCAGGTTTCTGCTATAAAATGACAAGAAAAATATAGACTGAATGGGGTTTTGGTGAGAATTATGAGATAGTGTTAGAAAGCACTGGTATTCTCATGATACTAGAAAGTATGGTCCTACCCAGAGGCAGGGATTGGAGGAGATGACCTTGAAATAACTTGTGGGCTCTTTGAATGTGGGGCCGAGTCTACATATGTCTAGGCCCTGAGTATATATTCAATCAACTTTTGCTTTCGGATGAATTCAGAGCTGGATTGTCCTTTGGCAGGCCTTCCTGTGTCTACCTTCTAAAGACCAGCTGAGAAGAACTATGGCCTGTGCATGGGCCCCTGTAGGGATGTAGATAAATCAGTGAACTCTACCCAATCTGTGAGCCTAAGGAGCAGGGCGAGATACTGGCCTTGGGTCCCTGGAGGAGGTGGGACTCCTGACAATTGAGAACAGAGCAGCAGCACCTCCCCTCTAAGCAGTGGAAAAACACTCACTCCTTTGCAAGTGTGACAGGCCAGCTCTACTTTGTGTCAATACACTTAATGATTTGAGACATGATTGATATAGAAAGCAAAATAGCTATAATCCATCTGTTGGGAAAGAAGTAGTGGAAGAGCAGCACATTCAAGGGAAATCAGGATGCTCTGCTCTCCCTTGTTTGCCAGTGGAGCCCTGGGCTTGAGGTAAGGGATTGGGAGAACAATTTTCAGAGAGAGTCATCCCCATCTCCAGCCTTGAGAAGTCTGGAGAAATATAATCAAGGAAAGGCCA